TGGGTCGGCTAAAAACNGATGTAGAACTAGTATATTTAGAAAAATCTTTCTTTAATTCCTCTAAGCTAGCTCATTGATTAGAATGCAAATGTCATATTTTTCTCTTTCATTGTTTAGCCCTTTATACTTATTATTCTTATAGTTTGATTTAGGATGTAAATAAAGACGTTAAAAATAGAACGAAACTAATAGGATGATTGTTGATAGTATAGACATGTGGGNCTACCACGCCTTTGGAACATTGCTAACCTTAGAAAGTTCTATTTCTAAAAAGTACCTTTTATAGATAAGAACCCCAAAGTGCCTTTGGAAAATTAAGGGTGCCCCTTAAGAATTGATTTGCGATTGATAGTGTACTAAGTTCAGAATTACCAATAAAATTGTTTGAAAATTTCTTCATCCGTATTCCATTTGTACACATCCTACTGCCAAGGCAAGAAGGCAAAAACCCTAATAGAAGTGTAAGCTTAAATCAGGCGCAGCCACCCTATCAAACACAGTCCCTCGGCTAGGCATGACGATGCAAGCTAACTAGGGATGAGTTTGAGTCCAACTAGGTTGGCGGGTTGGTGCGGAGTAGAAAGTCTCCTAGTCCTCCAGTGAACTCGGAGCAACTATACAGCTTAACCGAGCTCTTTGAAGAGGGCCATAACTTTAAAGACCCTATTATCTACCAAGTATAAGAGAGGTTCTTAATGAAGAACCAAGCTCTTTGAAGAGGGCCGAGCAAGGACCATAACTTCAAAGACCCTATTATTTTCTAAGTATAAAAAGAGGTTCTTAAAAAAGAATCGAGCTCTTTGAAGAGGGCCGAGCAATGGGCATAACTTCAAAGACTCAAATATTTTCTAAAGCATAAATATGTTATTTAAGCATTCATCAAAGTGAATCGACTAAACAGAAACATTACAATTTTTCATTAAAACTGTTTTATAGAGGAATCAAAAAGAGAACAAAAAATCTTAGTTTTCAGGAGGGAGGCGAGGACAAGCTCGGAGGAGGGTGCTTGGAGAAAAGTTCGGAGGAGGGATTGACTTCAGCAACAACCAAAGCAGCCTGCCAGCCTTGGCTAAAGAATGCCTCTTTAAGCTCTGGCATCTACTGGGCGATATCAGCCTATGCCTTGTCAACACCTTCATTGTAAGTATCATTTGCCTTCTCCTTAGCTTCCACTTTATATTTATCAAACTCTTCAAGGAGGGAAAAGTAGTCGAGTTGGACCTGGGAGAGTTCGACATAGTTCTTGTGCTTAGCTGCCTTCAACTTTTCATTCTCAACTAAAAGCTTCAGGTTTTCTTTAGTCAGGCTCTGGTTTTTAGCCTGCAGAACCTTCATTTCTTCACAAAGTTTTGCATATTCTTCATCAACGCTCTCCTTCTTGGCAAGGGCCGAAGATCGGGCATGTATAGCATCTTTCATTGCCTTGTCTTTACGAGCAATCCGAGCTCCGATCTCATGAATTTTTTGAAGGCCCTTGAAGATGAAGAGATTGAAATAACGTAGAAACATTTTCGAAGTAGTAAGAAGCTCAAAAGAAAGGGAAATCCAAAGGAAGAAAAGACTCACCAAAACCATATGCTGAATAGCTTGCCGGGATACTTCATCATCTGTCAGTGCCTCGTTCTTAGCAAGGTCACGAGGCAAGATGACCCATCTGGCAAGGCCAACTGCGACATTAAAATCTTCGATTGGCGAGTCCTTTGAAGTGATCTCTTTTCTTTTGACCCTAAGAATAGGGCGAAAAGGGGCGCTAGCTGGCCTTGGTGAGGAGAGGGCATCTGATTCGGCTGATTTATGTCTTTTTGGAGCTCGGTCCTTAGCAATTTCAAAAATTGAATCGTTGTCTTCAATCGGGGAACAAACATTGATCGGAGGATTTGTCTCAATTTGTAAAGAAGTTTCAAGAACCTGCGCTAAATTGGTTTGATCAAAGAGGGGGCAGACTTACATCAACTGCTTCAGGAAGTGTCTCCTTGGGTATGAAACTCGAGGATCGGCTCATTTGTTCCAATGATCCTAGGTTCGAGAGTTGAGGGGGTCGGATCACTGGTCGGAGCCATCTCATCTGCAGTTAAGAAATCTAAAAGGTTGATTGATTTGCGTCCTAAAGTTGTTTGAGAAGTCCTATTTTTTTCTCAGGGTGCTTTCTCACGAGCAGCTTGTAGTGCCTCCCAATCAGTCGCTAATGCTGCATTAGGTTGGTTCGGCACAACAATGAAGGAGGAATAGGTTGGAAGGTAACCAAGGAGAGTGTGGGTGGCTCGACAAAAGAGTGATTCTTTAAAATCCCAAACCTTCTGAAGTTGATCTAACTTCACAGAAGATTCGGGAACCTTGCCCTTCACAGTTTCACCTGCACCAGTGTCAGCACCATAACAGTTATAATAATAATAAATAGATAAGTATATATATAAAATTTTACCTGGTAAGCCTTCTTCGTAAGGGCAACGGTAGGATGGGGAAGCACCAACGACATATTCCTAGTTGTTGGAGACGAAAACGACGTCATTTTCATGAGCCTTATTCGAGTTAGGAAGATGTGTGACCAGGTACCTCTCATTCTTCCTCACAGAGAGATAATAACTATCTCCAGCCGCTTTGATGATGTAATAGTACAAAATTTCCCACAAGCCAAGACTCAGACCTAGAAGTTTGTTCAAAGAAGAAACCCCATGACGATATGAAAGAAATTGAGGCAACACTGGAGAGGGCAAAGTTTGGCAGCAGAAAGAACCCATAAGAGAAGGGGGTCAAGGGAAAAACGAATCCCACCTTCTGTTATGGCATGAGTAGGAATTGGGATCCTCTCTCTTGTGCCAATCAGAGGCTCGTCTTTTCCTGCGACTCTGACTTCGACGTCGTCTGGTATGTGGTACTTAGCCTTGAAGGTAGAAACTTCAGAAAGGGTAAGAAGGGCCATTGGAAAAACGAAGCAGACTCAAAGAAGACGAAACACAGAAGCTGAAATAGGAAATATGAAGAAAGGAGTGCCATTTTGAAGAAGAAAGAATTTCAAAGGGCGGTATTTAAATGCTCTGAATATGCCGCCAAAAAAAAGGGAAATGCTTCAATGTACGAATAGTTGTGATGTGAAATCAAGAAAACAGCTGATAGACAAAAGGCGTCTGTCAGACATTTTCTGGGGGCAAATGAAGGGCCTAATCATGATTACACGTGTTAGAGCATTAAATGGGCTCACGAGAGATTAACAAGACTGATCACGTGAGGAGGAAGTCATCCACCCAGTCATTTAATCCGAGCCAAATAGAATAAAGGGTTCGGCAAGAAAATTAAAGAGTTCGAGTCTCATGCCTAGCTAGCTCATGAATCCGTTCAGTAAAGCCAGGAAAGTGTTCGGCTTGTACTAAGCCAAATTCTCTAGAATGCGCGGTTTGTACCAAACTGAGTTTTCAAACAGTTCGGCAAACATTAATCGAGCTCGGCATTCGAAATGCCCAAGCAGTTCACAGTGGTAGAAGGAAAGTTAAAGACTTGCCTAAGACTTAGGCAATCAGATAAATGAAATCAACGGGATTGAAGATACGATGAGAAATTATTGGAGAAGAATTAGAAACCTTCCAAAACTCAAATACTAAATGAAAGGAAGGTGTGCCACCTTGAACCGAAAGTCATGGAAACCCAAATGGAATAATGATCTATAAAAGGCATAGGAAGTCAAGGTGGAAAGTACGCTGAACTCTCCTTGTCTTCGTGCAATTCTTCTCGTTCCATTACTGACTTAAGTATCGGAGTGCCTTCGATCGAAGCACTCGATCTTGGGTAATTTGTTCGTTTTGCAATAAGAAGATTTGAAGATAGTTCAGAATTCTTTTCCAGAAAGTTGCATCAGGAATTAAGTGTTAGAGGTATTATCAATTTTTTGCTTCTACAGTCACCCAGACATAACTATTCAATATTTGTCTCTTATTATTAATTATTTTATTTTAATCGTGCATAGTCAAGTTTGTACATTATCAATATTAATAATTGCATAATTGTAAATTCTTTTACTTGCTGGTGTTGATAACAGCCAGATCGACACAAGTTTAGTTTGTTAAGAGTATGTAGGAAATGAATTTGGTTGTCGGGAAGGAGATTTGAGTCTAGATATTCGAAAGATACAATCCTAGTAATAAATAGATTAAATTATTATCAGACCCTTTAAGACCATTAATTTCAATGAAAACTATTGTTAATTTGGTAATTTGACTGCAGATTAATTATTTTAATGTTTAGATCAAAATGATACCATCCAAATTGGACTCCCAGCTCGCCATGCAAGAAAATATATATTTCTGTTCTTTGCCTTCAAACCACACGGATCCTATGACAATTCGTCTGTATCCTCAGCACAACAGGCCAGAACAAGCCGCCACGTAGCATGTGTAGAGACTAAGCGTAACTGTCGCCTTGTATATCTCCCAGCCAAATATCCACAAGCAAAACAAAAAAAAACAAAAAACCCTCATAAATGGTCCTTTAATAACTGCAACTTCTCATTTCCACCAGTTAACAGAAAGGCAAGCTCGACCCTCTCTAAATCCCTCTCTCCCCACCCCCAAATTCACTCTCTCTTTCCCTCTCTTCGCAGTCCGAATTCCAGAAGAGACTGCTTGACGGAATATCAGAAATCTCACAAACGTCTAATTTTGGAGGCAAATCCTTTCTTACCAGTAGTGTTTTTTTTGTTCTGTTTTTTTAATGAACAGTGATGTATCAATATCATTTGGGTAACGTTATGTTTATCAATTTTTTTTATGTGATATAAATTTTGTCTTTATTAATGGAAAACCACTAATTTGGCGGCGAAAAACTATGTCATTATTTGGAATGGAAATTTGGCAAGGATAGTATTACTCGTATATATTTGTGCTATCAACAACGACTAATCAACGCTTTGTTTTGTCTGTTGTGTAGAAAATTCGTTGTTTACACAGGGGAGCTAACTTTGTTTCTGATAGAAGTACAATAGATAAGGGAGGGGAGAGACACAGCGAGAAATGGGTGAATCACCAACCACACCAGGGGCCGGGGTAACAACCAAGTGTCTGATGGATAACCTGATGGGTCTTCTCAGAATCCGCATCAAGAGAGGTGTTAACCTCGCCGTTCGAGACGTCCGAAGCAGTGATCCTTATGTAGTTGTCAAGATGGGTAAACAGGTCTCTGTTTATTTTTCATCATGTTGTAAATTGTTTTTCAATGTTTGTTTTCTAATGTCATTTTTCTGAAGTATTATCATGCAGTGGTTAAGTTGTTTTTTTAGTTAATCTATTTTACATCTGTATATCTGTGTTTAGGGTTTGATTGTCGGATCTTGATTGTCTTATGATCATGATGATTTTTGGGTTTGGTTTTGTTTGTTGATAGGATCTTGACGATTTGGGTTGATGCATATTGTTTTGGCTGCTTCATGATGTTGGGTTCTCTGCTAATTCTTGCATGCATGGAAAAATTGTGTGATGCTGTGTCCCTCTTGTAGCTAGATGGGAATAAACTATCCAGTTAATATCTTTTCATTTTTTAACCAGAAGTTTTTTTTGTTGGTCTTATTTTGTTTTAGTTTATCAGGGTCTTTATCCGTTTTCTATTCTCTATATCAAAGGAAATTGAAGTAGTAGAAAATAGGTGGTCCTAGATGCTGCGACATATGAGAATGGAAACCAATGATGGATCTAGAATTTTGATTTTGTGGGTATTCTTTTGACAAGTCTTTGGGGGTGTTTAGATAGATTGGGAGAAGTTTGGATGGCTGGGACGAGAAGGGGGATGAACATAAAATTGCGAGGACCAGTATATAAATTCCACATCAAACTATGGAGCTTTCAAACCCCCTTTAGATCCATCTTTGATGGCCACAATAGAGAGGTTTTGTGAATAAATTCTGAGTTTAGTAATTTGGGAATTTGTTGATGCTATAAGTATTTGAGGCTTCATCCAATGTGAGCACTGACATTTATTGTTTTTGTTGAAGATGGGTGAGTAATTGGTTTTGGAAATGCTTTGACACTTTAATCTATGTCAGTGCATAATTTGACATTCCTCACCGCATTTATGGCAATATTCAGGATGGCACCCAACCCGCTCACAGGGTGGGATGTGATGCGATTAGGGGTTGGGTTAAGTGCTTCTGTTCTTCAAGAAGAAGCATAAACAACTATTATTGATTTTTCCAGAGTTGATACTACTTTTTGCTTGTTCTTGTGAAGAATCTTTTCGGAGGCAGGCGCTTGCATTAGATTTTAGTAGGACCATTTGTAAAGCATGCCCTCCTTGTTGATTTTCAGGAAAGCCATGATGTGGCTAGCTTCAGGCTTTTAAGGGGAATTTCATTAATGCTTGACAGTGTTAAGGTTTCTCTTATCGTTTAAAACATTTGTATGTTTTTGGAATTATTATGCTAATATACTACCATAATCCCATATGGAAAAACTAGGCACATGGAAAATTGATATTTAACATTATTGGGGGTTCACGGACTTTTTTATGAAGCTAAAATGTTACAATTTTAGTGGAGTTGCCAGCTTTTGTGTGTACGGCCAGCAAATGCCAATCAAATAGTTTATTTATAAAAAATATTGTATGACATATATCTGCATTCAATGATACGTATAGAATGGTCGTAAATGGAAGAACATTTAACTTGTTGTATATCTCACAAAGTGATTCCTATCATTTTCAATTCCCCACTTTTGATCACAAAAGTAGATCGCAAATATTTATTCTTGTCAAATTTTTTTTATTTGTAATGTGGTGATTACCACCAATCTGTGAATATATTGTGAGCAATTGTCATTTGAGACTGTTTGGATAGGATTTAGGAGTAGTTATTTATTAACGAAAGAAATTGATTTGACTTTTTCATCTTATAAAGTATGTTCGTTTTTTAGTTGCCTAATATGGGACACTCAGTTTCATTCATAATACAAACCGATCCCTAACACATATCTTACTAAGAACCTTGTTTAAGCGTTATATGGAAAATATAATAAGACGTACAGAGTCAAGAGAAACTTGAGGTGCTCTTGGATGTTCTGTGATCAAAAAACGATAAAGAAATGGATACTAGATTTGGGTTGATTTATGACTTCCTCATATAATTTATGTCTTGTTCACTCTTAACACATCAAGGTTATTTTATTTCAGTAATTCTTAAAATATCAAGTTCATTTTGGTAAACTTCTAGATTTGCTGAACAGGACTATAGTTGTGGCCCATGGGTCTTGATTTTGATTGAATTATGTTAATAATCTTTATGAGGAGTCTTTGGTTAGTTCAGATTGAACACAAATTGAAACTACCTTTATTTTGAGTCATAAGCAGCATGATTTTCTCCACTTCCGCTAGGATTAGGACTTCGAATGTAATCTTATTATTCAACAGAAATGACTAATGTAGACCTAAGATTTTATTTGTGTGATGTGCCATAACCCTTGTTAGGATGAATTGTGAAGATTCTAGGTGAGCTTCCTATCCTCCTTAGTTACTATTCACAACTTTAGAACTGCCTCTATCCGGCGTCTAAACTCTACGTTGTCATTCCATTATTAACCACAAATCTTTTCCCTTACTTTTGTCGTTAAATTTAACACTCAAACACTATATTGGTTGTTGCCTCGAGCTTTAGCAACTTATTCTTCGAAATTTCAGCAAACTTTCACTTACTAAAAGCCACTTCAAACACGTTCAATCCCCAAACCCTCACATTTCTCCACCATTTATATACATATATGTGTGTGTGTCTGCAAGCATTCATTAATACTCTTATCCGGAGACAATTGTTACCGGCACAATTCAAAGTTTCCTAATTGTGTCTAAAACCATAGTAGCTATTATGATGTCTTGAAAAGAGCAAACAAAATAACTTCATTACTCTGCCGTCATTTCTCTTTCTTTGGTTCAATAGCTCCATAAAATGTATCTTTTTAATGATTTAATGATACGTATGTAGCTAGAAAGTGTGAATACAGATACGAGATATGTGTACGATACGTTGCAGATATGTTGATATAAACAATATTAACAATTTTTTATTTTCAAAAAGTTACCTATTGTCTCACTATGGTACATATACAAAGTAAACGTGATTAATTAAAACAATAAGAACCAACATTTAGATAGATTGTTTGTTTAGAAGTATTTGTTACTAAGATTATAGAGTTTTTGGACACTTGATAATGTATAATACTTGGAAAGCACCATGTGTCTTTAAAGTCATATGGATTGTTGATTTATTGCATTGTATGTGAAATCAAAAGGAAGGAGTAAAGATTAAAACTAAAAATTATTCATACTTTTATGCATATAGAAGTAGCTGCAAAGTATTCATATATTTTATTTATTATTGGATAAATTTGGTGTGTATCGGATACGGATAAGTCAATCTTAATGAAATATCTGTGTTTTATAGATATGTAGTCATAATTGCTTCTAATATTTATACTTTTCTTTATAATGTTATGCTGCTACTTAAGACTTCCTTTGTTTTCTTATGTTGCAATTGCAAAAATTTGATGCAGAGGCTGAAGACTCGTGTAATTAGGAAGGATGTCAATCCCGAATGGAACGAAGATTTAACTCTGTCCATTCAAAACCCTAATCTTCCAATCAAGCTGGTAAGACTTTGGTCATTGCTGTCCAATATGTGACATGAGACAGTGTTAGATAGAAACAAAAGGTACATTATAATGTAATTGCGTTTATTATGTATGATAATAGTGAAAATGTAAGATATCATTTTTTCTTCTGGTCCCAAAGGATACATTAAATTAATCATTGGAGAGCTGGTCTATACAGAATCATCTGCTGTATAAAAAGAAGAGGAACGAGAAGTTTGAAATTGAATTTAATCTTTTCCTGCTATAGTTTGGGTTGCGACAATAATTATTAGAAGCGAAGTATAGAGAATTAATCTACCACTTTTAAAGGATACATTAAATTAATCATTGGAGAGCTGGTCTATACAGAATCATCTGCTGTATAAAAAGAAGAGGAACGAGAAGTTTGAAATTGAATTTAATCTTTTCCTGCTATAGTTTGGGTTGCGACAATAATTATTAGAAGCGAAGTATAGAGAATTAATCTACCACTTTTAAGCTTTGTTAACAAACTGAATGCCCTTAAACCACCCCTATCAAACTTGGTTCATCTCTGCACCTCTTTGAATGTAGGTTATTGTGTCTTTTCTGTCATACTTTTGTATGGTTCCTTTCAAACCCTTTTCTATTGACTCTTTCCCAATTGCCAAGAAAGAAAAAACGGAAAAAGCTAGTTTTCCACAAAAAAGAAATTTTTTTCTGAAGTTGGGGCCATGAATTTCTTACATGGTAGGAAAAGTTTCACTGACCTTCCTGGGTCATCAATTATCTCAAAAATAACATTTCTCATTTTAAAGGGTGATTAGTAATATCATCGAAAGCTCAAAATGTCTGAATGAAATATAGACTAAATGTCGTAACATTATTTTCCAGGTATCTTTATGTATCCCTATCATGAACTTAAACAAAAACACTACCACCGCCATAGCACTGCCTTTGATCCTCATGTTGTCTGTCCATTTTCTTTATCTTAACCAAGCACCACCTCTTGTCAACTCACTGAATGACACCCACACAATCACACCAATCAGGTCATTGCGAACGAGACAACCATCTCTTCTTCTTGCTCCTCTATTTGCCAATCAGATCATTCATTTACAACATTGACCAAGTTCTCTGTGATCCTTGCTTCAACATCTTGTTGGCTTCAGCGCCACCTTTGCAACTGACAACACCAACTCATCATCTCCCTTCCTTTCTTTAGTTCTCTTCCTACACTTCCTCTGCCTTTGCAGCCAACCAAGAGAAATGAACTCACACTCTGCAGTTTCTAGAGATGATCACACTCCATAAATGAATAAGTTTGAGATGAAGGTTATGTTGTTGGTGTTGATGAGAAGAAGGATGCTGGTTATGGTGGTGCTTTGATCACCATATTTAACAAAGTAAGTTGTAGAATTCAATAAATGCAATTAAAAGTCAAGGAATAGAACGGGGGATTAGACTTCCCCTCCCCCGCCCTGGGGGTTGTTTGGGTTAGTTGATCTTTTGTTGGTAGATCAGTGGAATAGTCCTG